TTCGGTTTGCACGAAATTTGGCACAGCGTAATAACTTAGGCCTAGAATGATGTGAGTTAGGTTTTCTGAAAATCGGTTCAGATTTATATATATAGCTCCCATATATATTTTCGTCTGATTTAATGTAAATTGTGCACTAAAGTCCCTATATATCATTCGATTTCCACGAAATTTGGCACAGCGTATTGAATTAGGTATGGAATGATGTGTGTTTCGTGAAAATCGCTTCAGATTTAGATATAGCTCCCATATATATTTTCGTCCGATTTAATGTAAATGGTGTACCAAAGTCCCTTAATAACATTCGGATTGAACGAAATTTGACGCAGCGTAAAGAATTAGGTATGGAATGATGTGTGTTAATTTTTCTGAAAATCGGTTCAGATTTACATATAGCTCCCATATATATTTTCGTCCGATTTAAGGTAAATGGTGTACCAAAGTCCCTTAATATCATTCGGTTTGCACGAAATTTGGCACAGCGTAATAATTAAAAATTTCAAGTACAAAATTTAAGTAAAAATCTCAAGAGCTCTTGAAGATATAGCCGATTTATTGTGTCAGCATCAAGTGACGGCTTTAAACGCGTTTTTCTCTAAAGATTGGTTTTGCGAATGGCGGGCACAATAACTCAAAAACTAATAACCCAATCGAGTCCAAATTTTACACGTTTCTCTGTGAGTATATACCTATCATATGAACTAGGATAAAGCCAATCAGTGAAGATCTTCCTTATTTTTTAACTTGGTTTTTGGTCAAAAACCAGCGATTTTCCAAAAATATTTTTTTAAAGGTCCGCCATTTTATTTATTTATTTGTTTCTTTTTTTTGTAAATTATTTTTCTTCTCTTTTAAATCTTCAAATATATATTTACAAAGTTACAAACCTTAACAAGCATTGGTATTGATTTACCAGCCCATTGAAAACCTTGAGAAATTAAAATCGAGAATGGGGGGTTGCCTTAAAAATGCGACGTCTGTTAGGATTCATCTGTTGAATATACCCATAGTGGTGAAGGGTATCATATAGTCGGCCCCGTCCGACTTTACTGCTTTCCTTAGTGGTTTTAATTATTTTTAGGGACTACCAGAAGGCGTGGATTTTTTAAATTATTTTTTTTCAGGAACTTCCAGAAAACGTGGATTTTATAAATAATATTTCCAGGGACTACCAAAGCGTGGATTTTTTAATTAATATTTCCAATAACATCCTTATTCCCAAAATAAATCATCGTCAAAAGCTGAAAACTATTTATGAAGACGAAATATTTTATATTGTTATTTTTATACCCTTCACCACACTGTGGTACAGGGTATTATGTCTTTGTGCATATGTTTGTAACAGGCAAAAGGAAACGAGATAGGCACATGGTTCCTTTTGAGAATATGCATAGAATCACTTTCTGAGTCGATTTACGCATGTCCGTCTGTCCGCCTGTCCGTCCGTCCGTCCGTCTGTCCGTCCATGTATTTTTGTGAACAAAGTACAGGTCGCATTTATGATCCGATTTGGATGAAATTTGGCATAGGTCACTTATTTGGCCCAAGGACGAACCCTATTGAAATTGGGAAAAATCGGTTCAGATTTAGATATAGATCCCATATATATTTTCACCCGATATAGGCACCAAAGTACCTATATATCATTCGATTTGCACGAAATTTGGCATAGCGTACTGAATGAGGTCCAAAATGATGTGTGCTGAGTTTCGTGAAAATCGGTTCAGATTTAGATATAGCTCCCATATATATTTTCGCCCGATATAGGCACCAAAGTACCTATATATCATTCGATTTGCACGAAATTTGGCATAGTGTACTGAATTAGGTCCATAATGGTGTGTGCTGAGTTTCGTGAAAATCGGTTCAGATTTAGATATACCTCCCATATATATTTTCGTCCGATTTAAGGTAAACGTGGCACCAAAGTACCTATATATCTTTCGTTTTCCACGAAATTTGGCATAGCGTACTGAATTAGGTATAGAATGATGTGTGTTAAGTTTCCTGAAAATCGGTTCAGATTTAGATATAGCTCCCATATATATTTTCGTCCGATTTAATTTAAATGGTGCACCAAAGTCCCTATATATCCTTCGATTTGCACGAAAGTTGGCACATCGTAATCAATTAGGAATATAATGGTGTGTGTTAAGTTTCCTGAAAATCGGTCCAGATTTAGATATAGCTCCCATATATATTTTCATCCGATTTAATCTGAATGGTGCACCAATGTCCCTATATATCTTTCGATTTGCACCAAAGTTGGCACAGCGTAATGAATTAGTTATAGAATGGTGTGTGTTAAGTTTCCTGAAAATCGGTTCAGATTTAGATATAGGTCCTATATATATTTTCGTCCGATTTAATGTAAATGGTCTACCAAAGTCCCTATATATCTTTTGATTTGCACGAAATTTGGCACTGCGTTATGGATGAGGTCTGGAATGATGTGTGTTAAGTTTCCTGAAATCGTTGAAATCGGTTCAGATTTAGATATAGCTTCTATTTCATCTGTTGAATATGCTCAAAGTGGTGAAGGGTATCATATAGTCGGCCCCGTCCGACTTTACTACTTTCCTTACTGGTTTCATATATATTTTGCCAGACTAAGTGGCTCCTTCTCATATTTTGATCCAACAACAAAGTGAAACAAAAAACTTCAATTTTTCATAAGAAATATTCTAAAACAAAAAAAACCAGACCTAATTCCATTCCTGTTTTCAAGGTTACCTCAATGTAATTTTAAAAATGTTTCAAGTTGTTTTTGTTTTTCGTTCTTCCATCAAGTAAACAACTTATTTTTAATCTTCGTCTGTCCTTCTTAACTTAAATAAAAGTGAACATAATTTCCCCCAGCCCCTCTGACTGGTTCCACATTGGTCCACCAATAAACTAGTGTAGTACCTTGCAAATCATATCTCAGCTGAACGAACTACAAAAAAATCAATTGAACCACAAACATAAATTAAATGAATGTTTCGGTGTTTCCGATAAAACTCAAACGAACCACAACAAAAGAAAAAGAAACCTGAACGGAACGAAGCAAAACAAAAAAAAAAAAACTGTAAACAAATATGGAGGAAACCCATGAAGCGGCAGCAACAATGTGATGCCAGTGAGGCAGCCAGCGTGGTAGCAACGAACCTGCAGCTATTTTATTGATGCAAACCAGACCCAAACTGATAAGAGATTTAATGGAGTACGAAAAATACATCATTCGGATGGGAGGAGTACATATTTACGAAATAGTGGCCAAGGAAAATAAAATAAAAAAATAATGAATTAAGTTTTCAACGAAGACATGAGCGAAATTATGTTCGAAATTGTAAATATGTTGTTTAGGCCTGTCGCCTTTAAACTCCACCGGCAATAATGATATCCAAACCAATTAAAATAGCTATCACTGTTTCTGGTGCAGGTCACGTTGTGTTGGGACAGATTCTTGCTCAGGAAACCACAGTCTTGTTACTGCTGTAAAACACAATCTTTTCGACTCCCAGAGGGGCAGACACGAAAAACAAACAAACAAAACTACGTTCACCGAGCCGGCACATAAACTTTGCTCTATTGATGTATTTAAAACAATGTGTAGCGATGTAGTTTTAATCAATTTGTTTATTTATATTAATTCTTTTATTTCAAGGTTCCGATAAATACATATTACTTATGTTATGCTAGGTTCGATTCAAATTCACTTTTATTCCTTTTTTGTCGACCGCGAAGAAGCAAAGCAAAAAGACAACTGTTTCTCTCGTGTATAAAAAAACTAATAATAACAAAAAGAAAACAAAACGTTGAGAGAGAAGTGACAGATGATGTCAGTGCTGACACTATCAACTGATCATGGTACTCAGAGATGGAATTATGCATTGTTCACACATGTCCACTTTAAGTACCTGATCATGCCGCCTCCCTTGAACGGCTAGTTCAATAAAGTAAACAATACAAGGATATCAAAGTATATAAATTAAAAAATAAGCGGTAATAAATTCAGGAATTCAATTCGCCCATTTTGGGACCATAAACCATTCAATGACAATTATGAATGAATGAATAATTAAAATTAATTATGAAGGAATGAATAATTAAAGAAGGTTTGTAATACTGTAAGTAGTTGAACTAGATAGACTCCGGAGCGAACTATTCGTCTTGCCTATTTTGAGATAAAAATTCAGCCTCCAATTCAGTGGTTTCAATGTCTTTCGCCAATGGACCAAAAAAAGCGTCACCAAATATAGTCTTCTGCAAATATGGTAGCCCTGGCTGCTCCTCCGGTAATCCCAAATAGACTGATTTAGCAACATCCTTTCCCAGAACTATGGAACAACCCCATGGTAGATAAAAAGACGGATCCGCTGCGTTTTCTATAGGACAAATTTTCCAAACCTCTTTAGGATCGCAGTGTGATTGGGGAGTACGGTAACGGTAGCTGTGTTTGAATGGGAGATCGACTGTGACCGTTCGCACCTCACTGTGCCTGTCTGCGAGTTGGACCTTGTACTGCAAAATGTCGTAATCCATCTGCAATGGCAGTCGACAATATGGCGGCGCAATGAAGCTGTCGGAACTATTTGGGTTCAAAAGAATGCGAATGATGCGTTTCTCGTCACCCATACCGGGACCATTTATGTGAGCCAGAGCCGTCATTTGAAGCCAATCAAATGTCTTCTCATCAAACGGGTGTAAGAGAGTGTGGTGCCTCTTCCAGCATTTGCGGCATACATCCTCGCTTCTGCAATCCTCTAGCGTGTGCGAGAGGCCCAAACAATTCTCACACACCCTGTTCTCTCGCACATAATTCGACTTTGTTTTAGGGTGCATGGCCAAGAAACACCGACAGAGGCGTAATGAATGACGTGTTTTGCAGATGGGGCAGCGATAAGCTTCAAGATACTCCATTTTTTTTCCTACGAAAAATAGAAGAATAAATTAAAGTTTGTACCTTTATAATGATGACATTTGGGGAACTAAAGGTCGGGATAGGATAGGAAGTGTTGCTATTGCGATCGGGGAAGCAAAACCAACTTATGCACGGGTCGTCTTAATACCCCCGATGATGTTTTAAGGTCGACTACCCTGACATGCCCATCTGAACCAGGGTGCAATTCTATCACACGGCCTAAACGCCAATCATTCGGACTTCCCATTTCCTGTGATAAAACCACCAAATCGTTCAATTCTAAATTTGGGGACGGACGATTCCACTTGTTTCTCTTGTTGAGTTCCTTCAAGTAATCCGACTTCCATCGGCGGCAAAACTCTTGTTGAATGACCTTCAGTTTTCGCCATCGGTTCAGCATTGCTGTCTTGGACGGTACCTCTTCGGGTTCGGCTGGGGACAGAAGTGATGACCCAATCAAAAAGTGCCCAGGCGTAAGAGCCGTCAAGTCATTGATATCTTCAGATTGCGGAGTCAAAGGGCGAGAATTGAGGCAGGCTTCAATGGAAGCAAGAACTGTGCAGAATTCTTCGAACGTGTATCGAATCTGACCGGCGATCTTTTTTAGGTGGATCTTACAACTCTTAACACCCGCCTCCCATAATCCTCCCATATGCGGAGCAGCAGCAGGTATAAAATGCCATTCGAGGCGTTGATGGCCGTATTGCATTACAGCGTTCTCCTTTGTTTCCAACATCGCTTTACGAAAGCCTTCTCTAATTTCGCGAACAGCCCCTACGAAGTTTCGACCATTGTCGGAAAAGATTTTATTGGGACAGCCTCGCCGCGAGACAAATCGTGTTAGCGCTGCCATAAATGCCGGGGTAGAGAGGTCGCTTACTGCTTCTAAATGAATCGCTTTAGTAGCGAAACAGACGAAGAGACAGATATAGCCTTTGACTATGCGACAACCACGACCTGAAAATGTCTTCAATTCAAAAGGACCGGCATAATCGACCCCGGTGTTTGCAAAGGGTCTGCTTAACGTGGTCCGTTCAGTCGGTAACGCTGCCATCAGTTGTCCTTGCAGCTTCTTTCGGGCCAAAACACATTTAATGCAATTTCTAACAGTTGCTTTTACTAAATTCTTTCCCCTGATGATCCAACATTCTAGTCGAATAGTTGCCATCATTAATTGAGGACCTCCATGCAAGGTCATGTCATGTATGAATTGGACATACATCTTGGCAAATTTACTGGCAGCGGTCAGAATAAAGGGGTGTCTTTCACTTGGAGACAGAGAAGATGTAGACCCAAGTCGCCCATTGGCGCGGATAATTCCCTCTTGATCGAGATAGGGTGTAAGTGTAAGTAAAGGACTTTTCTTATCCAGAGGCTTTCCTTGGGACAGAGCTTCGTACTCGTCAGGGAAATAAATCTTTTGGGACAGTATAATAAGATGTTTTCGTCCCGCATATACCTCCTTAAAGGACAACTTGTTGCCGCTGTAAGTGTAGGTTTTGCGAGTAGCAGGATGACAAGCTTTCATAAACCTTTCCATATATCCAAACGCGTGTACCGCCTTAATGAAACGGTGGAGATGTTTTAAATGTCTTTCGGGGTCCGCATCACCTTCTTCTTCACCTTTTTTCGTTTGCTTTGGTGTAGGTGACAGCTCCTCAGATCTAGCTATATGTACCTTGGAAGGAAGTGGTTTTTGTACCACAGTTTCGGGAGAAGGCTTCATTTCTAGACGTATCTCCGGAATATTAATTGCTGAGGGCCAGAATTTCTCATCCTTTTGGAGCCAACTTGGACCGAACCACCACAGATTCCTCTCCTTTAATTCTAAAGGAGTCACCCCCCGGGTTGCTAGATCTGCGGGGTTGTCATGTGTAGAAACATGTCGCCATTTATCTCCTACTTTATCATGAATTTTCGATACCCTGTTTGCCACAAACGTTGTCCACGTATGCGATGGTTTCTTAAGCCAAGCTAGAACTATGGTTGAGTCCGACCAAAGATGCAAAGTGTGACTTTGGATACACAATTGGGGTATAAAAGCGCTTACTAAGTCTGCCAACAGCTGAGCTCCGCACAGCTCCAATCGGGGCAGTGAAACCTTCTTAATCGGCGCTACTTTTGATTTCGAGACTAGTAAATTCGTGGCAAAAGAATTTCCTATTTGTACTCTTGCATACAAAACCGCTGCATAGGCTAATTCTGAGGAATCACAGAATCCATGCAATTGTATATGACACTCTGGTGAGTATTTCACCCAACGGGGTATATTAATCTTGTCGATGTTGACATAATTATTTAGAAACGTTTTCCATTTGAGCAAAGAAATAGGTTTTAAGGGATCGTCCCACTGTATTTCATCCAACCATAATTGTTGCATGAATATTTTTGCTGTTATAATAACAGGCGCGAGCCACCCCAGCGGGTCAAAAAGTCGTGCTATCACTGATAAAACCTCCCTTTTTGTAAACGAAGTCTTGTTGCTTATCTTCTCCGTTACAAAGTAAAACATGTCGGTGCATGCATTCCATCTGATTCCTAAAGTTTTAGCCATGCTTTTATTATCAAAATCAAGAAACTCTTCGTTGAGAAGATGGTCTCGGGGCAGATCTTCTATAATATCCCTACAATTGGATGTCCATTTACGTAGTTCAAATCCTGCCGATTTCAGAATGCCTATAAGTTGCAGTTTCGCATTTATTCCTTCAGGGATCGAATGAACGCCAACCAGTGCATCGTCAACATACATATTATCTTTTAAGATCTTTGCTCCTACGGGGAACCTATGTTCCTCATCATGGGCCAGTTGCAACAATGTTCGTAGTGCCAAAAACGGGGCACAATTGAGACCGAAGGTTACAGTTTTTAACTGATAATCTTTGATTTCTTCGTCGGGAGAAAAACGATACAAAATGCGTTGGAAACTAGCGTGATTTGGGTTGACCTGTATCTGTCTGTACATTTTCGATATATCTGCGTTGAAAACGAATTTGTACATACGCCAATTTAGAATAAGAGAAATAATATCTTTTTGTAAAACTGGCCCCACATATAATAAATCATTTAAACATTTTCCCGTTGCCGTGGGACATGAACCGTTAAAAACTACCCTTAGTTTTGTAGTAGCACTTTCTGGCTTGTATACGCCGTGATGGGGCAAATAAAAGCATGGGTCACAATTTGATTTATGTGATTCGACTAACTCCATATGTCCTAGGGACAGGTATTCTTGCATGACCTCGTCATACATCGTTTTAAATTCTGGCTTCCTCGACATTGTCTGCTCATTTCGAAGAAACTGACAAAGTGCCACATATCTATTTGAGCAAATGTCTAATTTTGATGGAGTTCCAGATTTGAAGGGCAAATCTACTATGTATCTCCCGTCGGAGTTCCTCTTTACATTGGCTGAGTAAAGGTTTTCGCAAATTGTGTCTTCTTCTGAGACCTTATGCATTGCTGGGACCTCTTCTATCTCCCAGAAACGAGCTAATTGTTTATCGATGGACACTCTTGTGCAATGCGATGCTCTCATCGTACGTCTTGCTAAGGAATTGCTTGTTGGGCCAGTAACGATCCATCCGAAGACCGTTTCTTGGGCTACCAACGTCCCCAGTATACCATGTTTCACTCCACCGAGTAAGATAAATGGGTATACATTTCCTCCTATGAGGATATCAATTGGGGCACTTCTATAAAATTCCGGGTCGGCAAACTTCAAATTCGGCAATTCTTTTCTGTTTATATAGTTATACGAATGGGTTGGAACATTTCCTGTGACGTCAGGAACCACTAAAGCGTAAATATCCAACGAAAAGTTTGGATTAACAATAGAAGTAATCTTGAAAATGGCTACTTTGGAGCATTTTGCGAGACATTCACCGCCAAGACCACTTATCTCTGCCGCAATTGGGACAGTAGGTAGCTTTAACAACGTTTGTATTCGTGCTGATACGAAGGAGTCATCCGAACAGGGATCGATTAGGGCTCTGACTTTGTGGGAAATACCATCCTTGGTTATTGTCACCCAAGCGGTCGCTAACATTGTTTTGCTCGCTACTGAAGTGTGATATGTTCTAACATTTTCAGAGGTAGATAGCAAATCTGTGGACTGTGCATTTGTTTGAGACGATTGAGATACTTTTCTCAACTCCCCTGACCTATTTTCTCCGTGTTGGATCCGATTTGATTTGTGTAAGAGCGTATGATGCTTCGAACTGCACTCAGAACAAGTTTTCTGACTCGTACAATTTGAGACCATATGACCCTGCGATAGGCAGTTGAGGCAGTGTTTGTCGCGTTTAACTATGGACAGTCTATTTTTGAAGTCCATACTCAAAAATTTGGGACATGATCGTAAAATGTGGTTTCCCCTGCATAAGTTGCATTTTTGATTGTTTACCTTTGTGTGGTGTACTTTATAGTTCTTTGATCGATCAAAGTTATTGTATTTATTTGGCTGAGGCAGCGAAGATCTTGAGCCTTGTGGGCCATATATATCTGAAACGCTCTCTAGTGCCTGAAAACGTTCAGTTAAAAACGTGTTAAGCTCTTCCCAGGAGGGCATTTCAGTTTTCTTAGCAATCGATTGTTCCCAAAGGGACAATGTTAGTTTCGGCAGTTTCGGAGAACATTGAAACACGAAAATTGGATCCCACGACTTAATATCTATCTTGTATAGTTTTAAAACCGAGATAGCATTATTTATGTCCCTTTGCAACTTTTTTAGTGCACTCGCTGATTCTTGGGAACATTGGGCCAGATTGAAAATTGTACGTAATTGATTGTTTATGAGAATTCGTTTGTTCTCGTACTGATTTTTGAGGTTATCCCACGCGATTTCAAAACCTTCATCAGTAAGTGGGATATGTTGATTAACTTGTCTGGCCTCTCCGCTAGTTTTTTGGAAGAGATGGTACAATTTTTCTACGGGACTAAGTTTTTTATTATTTATGTAGATAGCAGTAAATAAATCCCGAAAACTGGGCCAGTTTAGATAGTCTCCATGAAATACTTCTGTATCACATGGTGGGACCGAAATTGACGAGCTAAATTTTTGAGGAGATTTCGAAGACGAGGCTTTTAAATTATCTTTAGCATTTCCTATGAGAGTTAGACATCTCATATAGCTCTTATGTATTTCTGCCTTTTTTGTTTTAATAGTTTGTTTGTCTCTTTTCTGTTGGTCGGGGTCAGAATTACATAGTTTGTATGACGTTTTCCATTCTCCCCACAAGTTCTCAATTTCCTCCTTTTCTGCCTCCAGGGAAAGATCATTATATTCTCCTAATTTTGCCTCTTCTAGTTGTTTCGTGTACGAAATAATTTCTTCGCACAGAACCAAAAAATCTTCCAATGTACCCATGACGTCGAATCAGGTAAACATATATTATATTTTTCAACAAAATTAATAATGGGTCGCTGAACCGAAGAAAGGGGCAGTTTATTGACGTAATTTTACAAATTGTATTAAAATGGCTGAAAATCTGGCTTTTTCCGTAATTTAATTTAAAAAATTAGGAAAAGAAATTTTCAATCTTTGAGCTCGTCTATAATTAATGTAGATGTGAAGATTTTGTTCTAGTCGAGATTACAAATATTTGAAGGAAAATGTGATTTAATATCCCAAATTGAGACAGAAATCAATTGTGAATACAGAAATGACAGTGTGATCGTTAAATATCTTTTCCATAGACAATTTACGTACCAATCTTCTAGCAGCCAACTATTTCTGGTGAAGATCTAAATTTCCAAATGTTCAAAGAATATACTTTTCTTCACAGCTGATATTTTTAATTATGTTTTCCATATAGTTTTGTTTTATTGCAGTAATCAAATATTTTAACTATTTGCGGAGTTGGACATTTATTTGCAAAATGTTTTTTATTTTAAAATTTAGTCTCTACGATCCACTGTGCATATGTATGTTGGCATCAAGCAAACATTCTCCAGCTTAAATTTCAACAAAAACAACCAAATTCAATAACGTTCTTAAAACGAACGGCAACTGTTCTCCTTGTATTGAGCTCGTGTTTGTCTATGCCAAAGTTCTCTTAATTTTATGCAGATTCTATGTACTGACAAATTGTATGTACACTCTTTTAGCGGGACCGTAGTCGAAGAGAGCTACATAAGAGAGCACGCTTGAGACAGAGCGAAAAGGCAAAAAATACAAACATTAGAGTGATATCACTTTGTACACAGCATATACGGGAGCGAGTTGTTACGAGGAAAAAGTACAGGGGGACAAAATCCACAACAGCACCAATAGAGATATCGGATAAATTGAAAATTGGAAACTTTGTATTTATTTCAAATGTTTTCAGCTACTAATGTTTTTTTTTTTTTTATATATATAAACTAATTTGATTTTATTTTCATTCCAAAGCCAGGGACAGATATGTTGTTTCTTTTATTCCACACATGAATGTATTTATTTTATTATTTTTCCAACAGTGCATATTAAACCACTGTGTTGAATGTTTTGCATTCCTCTTCTTCTTTTTTTTTTTTCATGCAATATGAGACAGGGAGAGCGAGATTTTCAAAGAGATCGTAAAAAAAAAACAACTTGTGCATGTGTTCTCTCAGCGCCAAAATTCTTGTTGTTGATTCTCTTCTAATGTAGGTAATGACTATGACCTACCACAATAACAACAATTGATGGGTAACGGTTTTTGTTTATTCTTGTTTCTTTACCATTTATTTTTTTGTAAGAATATGTAAATCTTTGCCGAAATTTTGCAACATCGCATGGAATGAAGGGAATTTATGTAGCAGAGGTTGGGGAGCAGGTTATGGTGAATCATGGGGACAGTATTTTGATATTCCACAAATAATATGAACAGTACGTACCTTTTGATTGGTCGATATCTGCCTGAATATTAAATTGTTCACTATATTTTATTTTTTTGGTTTTAGGTTCGTAAGGACCATATGTTTAGGCCTGTCGCCTTTAAACTCCACCGGCAATAATGATATCCAAACCAATTAAAATAGCTATCACTGTTTCTGGTGCAGGTCACGTTGTGTTGGGACAGATTCTTGCTCAGGAAACCACAGTCTTGTTACTGCTGTAAAACACAATCTTTTCGACTCCCAGAGGGGCAGACACGAAAAACAAACAAACAAAACTACGTTCACCGAGCCGGCACATAAACTTTGCTCTATTGATGTATTTAAAACAATGTGTAGCGATGTAGTTTTAATCAATTTGTTTATTTATATTAATTCTTTTATTTCAAGGTTCCGATAAATACATATTACTTATGTTATGCTAGGTTCGATTCAAATTCACTTTTATTCCTTTTTTGTCGACCGCGAAGAAGCAAAGCAAAAAGACAACTGTTTCTCTCGTGTATAAAAAAACTAATAATAACAAAAAGAAAACAAAACGTTGAGAGAGAAGTGACAGATGATGTCAGTGCTGACACTATCAACTGATCATGGTACTCAGAGATGGAATTATGCATTGTTCACACATGTCCACTTTAAGTACCTGATCATATGTAATGGGTCAATAAATATAAATGAAATGAATAGTATGCATGGGCGACTCATAACAGGTGCATAGACTGGTGATACAAAAATTCTTTAAAAAATCCACGCCTTCTAAGAGGCCCAAAAAATATTCTTTAAAAAATCCACGCCTTCTAAGAGGCCCAAAAAATATTCTTTAAAAAATCCACGCCATCTTAGAGACCCAAAAAATATTCTTTAAAAAATCCACGCCTTCTAAGAGGCCCAAAAAATATTCTTTAAAAAATCCACGCCTTCTAAGAGGCCCAAAAAATATTCTTTAAAAAATCCACGCCTTCTAAGAGGCCCAAAAAATATTCTTTAAAAAATCCACGCCTTCTAAGAGGCCCAAAAAATATTCTTTAAAAAATCCACGCCTTCTAAGAGGCCCAAAAAATATTCTTTAAAAAATCCACGCCTTCTAAGAGGACCGAAAAATATTCTTTAAAAAATCCACGCCTTCTAAGAGACCCAAAAATATTCTTTAAAAAATCCACGCCATCTAAGAGGCCCAAAAAATATTCTTTAAAAAATCCACGCCTTCTAAGAGGCCCAAAAAATATTCTTTAATAAATCCACGCCTTCTAAGAGGCCCAAAAAATATTCTTTTAAAAAATCCACGCCTTGTTATTGGTTCCAAAAATATTCTTTTAAAAAATCCACGCCTTGTTATTGGTTCCAAAAATATTCTTTTAAAAAATCCACGCCTTGTTATTGGTTCCAAAAATATTC